GATTTCTAGACATTAGTTGATAAACTATTCGAACGTGAAGTATCGTTGGATGATGAGCAGTTATACTTGGATATTGCACGTGCTTATCAAGCGGTCGATTGCACACCGCATGCACAAAAATACATGGAACATCTTTTGGCGAGACGTTGCTTCGCTGAATCTGCCGACGTTTGGTTCCTGTATGGACAACTACTCTCGGTAAGAAATTTTACTGCGTGTGCTTTCAGTTCTTCTTGTACTCTGCAGTAAATCGCTTGTCACGGATCACTCTTGAGTTTTTGTTGAATCTGTCTCACATATGCGCATAACTGGCTGAATCAACGGTTGTTTTAACCTGAGGTTGTTGGATAGTGGAATTTGTTGTTGTGGAACGTCAAAGATTTGGCTCCCTAGTTGCCTGAATCAGCTTCTTAAACTGATATTTAGAGCAACTGAACGCATGGTGCCTTTAGTATTGGAGATTTTATTTTGTGGTTGCGCTCGATAAAAAAGAAGTGATTTTAAGCGAATGTGTTTTAAGGCCCGTAAAAAACCTGAGGCAGCAGCAACGGCGTATGAGCGTGTGCTGGAACTGCAGCCGAGTCATGTGGATGCGCGTATCAACCTGTCGACTGTTCAGCAACGATTGGGTATGGCTGAAAAAGCGTTTGAAACGCTTCGAGACTATGATCTCGACGCGGGCAGTAGTTTACCGGTGAGAATTATTATCGTTAACATTAATGCTATTGTAGTTTTTGTTAGTTTACCTGATTTAACAATTGTTATTATTATTTTAATCGTTGTTGTTGTTTCTTGAACATATGAAAGGTAATCATGCAAGTCTTGAATACATCTTAGTGAACAGACTTTGTGTTTGCTCAGAAAATTGGAGTATTGGGAAGATTTCATTGTTTTTTTTTCAGGATGAGCGTTTGCTGATTCGACAAGCGGATTTTTTGAGTGAGAGGAAACGTATCGATCAGTTTGTACGTTGCGTACGCATGCTGCTTACACCACATTTCTATATGGTTCATCAGCAGGCACCTTATATGAAGAAACGACTCCCGTCTGGAACACGTACGTCGAGTTTTGTTTCGATCACTGTCTTGTGATTTCATTTCTAGATCAATCAGTTTGCAGTATTATCTTATTATCTTGTTTGCATTAGTGCAACCATATGTCTGCCAGAGATATCCTTTTTGCAAGCTATATGCGTGATATCGAATCACATCTTTAAGCACATGTAATTCCTTTCATTCAAAACATTGAATTCTTAGCGATCGTTTGAGATGGTTATCTATGTATTTACAGCATTGGCTGTTTGTCATGGATTACGTAAGGCGACATTTTACGCAGTGCGTGGTTCAGCACTGGAGAAGTTCGTGAAACGTTTAGGGGCCATTGCAGCCAGTGAGGATAGGCCACCGAGTGAGATAACCGCCAATCAGGTTCGACTTTACCAAATTGTTTGCTTCGAATTGAACCCTTTAGATTTTACACGTGAAAATATTGTCCTGATTATGAGTATTTATATGTGCAATAATGGATCATTTAAATCTTACTAATTTATCAGAACAATAGTGCAGTGTATAAAATAGTTGTGACTGTTTTACAGAATTTTGAAATAACTTCATTTTTTTGGTGACAAATCTAAACGAAAAGATATTTTTGTATTTGGTAATGTTTTCAGCTGCACGATTACGCGTTCAAACTGATCGAAATTCTTGTGTCGTATGAGCGTTTCGCGGACGCATTACACGTGTGTTGTTATGCGTATTTGCAACCGACGATCGGCAAAACGTCAAAAACCATCGAAACATTTTTGAATCTGTTGATGTTTCTGTCGATAAAAGCGCAGTATTGGCCGTTGACGTTCGTCTATCTGCGTTGGTATCACACCGTATCGTTGAACAACAAAGAACTGCTCACGTCCGGATTTCGTGACTTGCTCTTCACCCGAATCTTCAACGCAATGAATCACGTCTTTTGCCATTCACAAAACGTCAGCTATCATCGTTTTGTGATGCGTGCATCAGCACGAATGCCTGGCAATATTGCATTGCAGATGATCTCCGGTAACAATTCATTGATCACTGGTGCATATCGTCATGCGTTAGGTGAGTAGTTGGATTCATCTTTTACATCCTTTCCCTAGGCATTATCTTTGAGCTTTTGTTCAAATGATGATCGTAGTTGAAAATTTTTAAGTTTTCGATAGACATTTGAGTCGTCCGAATGGAGGAATTATTTGGTAGTTAGTGTCTAGGTCGTATTCAGCATCGTGTTTTTGGCATAGCCATAATGATGGCTTGCCCTTCTGATTAGGCGTGCAGGCGAATGATCAGTTGTTCATCCTTATAAGTGTTTGAATCAGCAAGAAAATTTGAAGTGTAAATATAGAAAATGAATGTAATGCATCCGTCCGTTGGGTAGTATCGTTTTTAGATTAACAGCAATTTTTGACATTTCAAACAGTTGATGTTTACAGGTGAATATTTACGAGTGTGGTTTCGAGTACCCGACAATCCATTGGCTTGTATGCTAATAGCTTTAACGTTCACGCATATGGCTTGCAAAAAGGATATATCTAGTAGACATATGGTTGCACTTCGTGTTAGTTTTTTTTTGTTTTGGTTCGTTTAAAACTGCGATTAATTCACCGATTCATGTTGTTGGTTTGAGTGAAAGAAGTATTTTTCGAGATTGTTTTAATGGTGTCGGTAATGTTTCTTTCATTAGTAATGGTTTCTTAAATTCGTATGTTTAAGGGTCTAGCGTTTATGAATCGTTATCAGCGGGTGCGTGGAGAGTGTCAGGAGACGAACTACAATATTGCGAGAATGTTCCATCAAATGAATATTCTACCGTTAGCGGTTCA